TCAGAGCTTTTTTATTTATGAAAAAAATGTTTGTTGTTGCTAAACTAACCAAACAGACGCTCTAGAAGGCCTAATTTAGGCAGTTGTTGATGCTGACTCTGCAACCGGTCCACCTCTTCGTGCAGGGCTGTTCGCTCAAAGACGGGTGCCCCCGTGAAAGCGGCCATTCCACAGCTCCGAGCAATGTCTGCCGGCACCTGCAGGTAGCCTTCAAGGCCAAACTCCGGCCCGTAGCTGTTCTTGATTATNCACCTCTTCGTGCAGGGCTGTTCGCTCAAAGACGGGTGCCCCCGTGAAAGCGGCCATTCCACAGCTCCGAGCAATGTCTGCCGGCACCTGCAGGTAGCCTTCAAGGCCAAACTCCGGCCCGTAGCTGTTCTTGATTATCCAGTGGCCCTCCTCGGTCCAACCTTAAAAAATGTTGTTAAAAAGTTTTAGTTTTTTACCTAAGGGTTTTACGTACCCACGAGCAACATTGCATGATCGGCTGCCGCTCCAGGTAAACATTTCCGATAGTAGGGGCTGCCTTTCAGCTGAAAGAAGGCCGGGTCGTCGGTGTTGAAGCCGATGATGGCCGGCCCAAAGTAGTAAACGACCGCTCGGAAGATCTCATCGCTGGCACCTTGGTTCATGCACCAGCTGGTGGGACGAGCATAAACGGGATTTGGTGAGGTGCACTGTTCAGCCTAAAAACGAGTTCTGTTAAAAAATTGTACAAAAAAGTTTTCCACTTTTTTATACCTTTCCAATGTACGGCCGATCCTTTTGGAGCATAACTCCTCTGAAGACGGTCATATTGAGTACCTCGTGGGGGTAGCCGAGGCCGCAGCCATCTCTGCCCTCGTTGCTGTAGCAGTTGACCACGTCCTGTTCACTGAACGCTTTAGGGTTGCTTTTTTCAGTTTTCTTTTCCTCTTCCTCTTCCGCCAAATTGCGCCCCCTATTTTCCACCTGAATCTGGTAGGCGCCCTCCAGGCTGCCAATGGCGGAGAAGGCGTAGCAGCTGCCGCACTCGAGCTGCGCTTTTACCTCGGAGACGACTCCTTTTTTCCGCCAGTCAAATGCCTTTGGAAGGCCGGAGAGTAAAGCTGGGTCCAGGCTGGAGCCAGAAATGCAAGGACCGGTGAAGGCATTGCCTTTGCTGCTTTTGCTGCCAGCGGAGCTGCCCATCGGCGGAAGCTTGGTCAGCGGTTTGNTACCTCGGAGACGACTCCTTTTTTCCGCCAGTCAAATGCCTTTGGAAGGCGGGAGAGTAAAGCTGGGTCCAGGCTGGAGCCAGAAATGCACGGACCGGTGAAGNACGACTCCTTTTTTCCGCCAGTCAAATGCCTTTGGAAGGCCGGAGAGTAAAGCTGGGTCCAGGCTGGAGCCAGAAATGCAAGGACCGGTGAAGGCATTGCCTTTGCTGCTTTTGCTGCCAGCGGAGCTGCCCATCGGCGGAAGCTTGGTCAGCGGTTTGGTGAACTTTGATTTGATCTCCTTCCAGGACTGAAAGTTGAAGGGAGAAAAGTTAGTTTGGCTTTCTGAAAAAAAGTTGATCAACGTACAAAAGCGGAAAACATGTTCATTCCGAGAGTGGTCGGTTTGAAGGCGCTGTCCTTCTTCATCTTCAGTGCACAATCGACTACAGTGCGAGCCAACAAGCGAACACTTTTCAGTAGATTTGCCACTCTTTTTCGTATCTCTTTGTGGTCTTTGAGGACAAAAAGATGATAATTGAAGGAGACAAAACGTTTGAGGACGTCAGTCAGTGGCAGGGTGAAGATGTTCACTGTCTCGGCGCCAATTGAGGCGTTGTAGCAGCGCTCTAGGGCGTTTCCCATTTTTGAAGCTTTAAAGCTTTTCAGTGTTGGTTCGAGACTTTGCAAACTAGCAGTGCTAGTAGCATTGCCGCTCTTTAGAATGCTGTGAATGTACTTGTGAGCTCGGTGGATGCTCGCAAGGCGAGTGTAAAGGGAAGAGGCTGATGCATTAGGAAGTTGATTGCTGTGAATTAGCAGAACAAAAAATAAAAGTGATAAACTAGAGGAAGCTAATTTCGACATAACGTCGTTTTCGAAAGATTATGAAAATGTAAATAAAAAATCGCACAAATTTCAAAAAGTTGTACAGCAAGGTATTATGAGTTTAAAGAAGAGGCAAATGATGATAAAAAATGGAACCCTTGACTTTTTTGCTAATGAGCCTAATATTATTTTTATATAAATTAAAATGAGCATTACCGCCACACTTTCTGGAAGGTCGTTTCGCCTGCTTTAATTACTTTGGCAGCAAATACCACAACACACACACAATTTATTCATCAAAGGTTAGTTCCCTCTTCCTTACAACTCCACAAAGGGAAAGGTAAACTCTCCGGTGAAGAGGCCATCGCCTTTCTTACTCTTCTTCGACCGTCCATTCCCAAAAAGGCCACAGCCCGCCGCCAAACTCCGATTGAGGTACACGTATCCCTCGACGCCCCAGCTTTTACTGTTTCTATTGCTGACTCCGTAGCTGTTCTTCAGCAGCCAGTAGTCGGGCGTCCAGCCGACCAGCAGCATCAGGTGGTCGGCCTCCAGCGTTGAATTGCAGGGTGTGTTCAGCGGCCCCGCCAGATAGCCCCAGACGCGGGCAATCGGCCCGTCGGCCAGCGAGGTCGGAGAGCGAAAGGCCGCCGTAAGGGGACCATTAGAAATCAGTAGCTGTTTAAGGCGGTCATCGTTTCGTTTTGAGATGTGCGCTCGGCAGTAGCCGTTGGTTCGGGTGATGATGGTGGTGGAGTCGTCGGTGCAGCGGTTTGGGTTTGACTGGAAAGAGGTTTGATAAGTTTTTGATAACGGTTGATAAATTGATAAGCTGTGCTTACCTGAGGCAGTC